GGAAACCAACAACCTAGTTGAATTCAACGTCATCGAAATGCACTTGTTATGAGTGTTGATGACCAATCTGATCGAATCTGATGTACTCATATCGACAGGTGTGATGCTGAAAATGCAAAATTCATTGATTTATCACGAAATTGAGCCCATCAAAGTGGTTTGGTGTACCATGCTTTTGTTATGCCCATTATAATATTAAGACATTACTCCTGGAATCATGTTTTTCTTTATATCGGACCAATTCACTGAATCATGCATTAATATTTTATTATCCAAATTCCTCATCAACATAATGTGAACTCATTGCTCCTCCTTGTCAAGGAAGATGATTAATCTGATATACAGTATGTCTCATGGAATAATTTTCGAGTTGAAGTCAGGGCTTTTCAGGAAGACTTATTATTTCTCATTTTGTGGTCCAGGAAGGATATGATTCATCCAAATATGTCTATCACTTGGAAGAAATGCATCCGTACCATTGCTATAGTGTCACGTTCTACAAGCTGTAGAGAATTTTTCAGAAATTTTGCATTCGCAAATCATAAGAAATTATTGGGAAATGTGAATATAAATCCCTTCAATACCAGACGAAAAATCGATTATCAATTGCAAATAGTTATTCATACACCTATATAGTGAAGAATATTATCATTTCCCAGGGACAGAGAATATATCCGGAGGCTTCAGTCGAGAGGTATAAGGTCCGGTGGTAGTGATATTTCTTACTACCAAGGTGTACATATCGAATGATTTTCACTACTAGCAATATATTCCGATCGATAAAGTTCTGTGAAACTAAAATATGGACCTAACTCACTATGAATGCACTTCTTACCAATTCTGATTAGAATCAAGTCACCATGACAGCATATGACTAGTCGTAATTGATGAATACCTACTAGATTCGAGTGCAATAATTCCTGTGAATATCGCATCAGAACAGTGAATTCGGGTTTATTTTAACTGAGATGGCTATGTCTGTCATGACTGGTGATTTATGAAATGACGAAAACTACCTTAGTAGTGAAAACACAATTCACGCTATGGAAAGGAGTGAATAATGATAGGTTCGATTGCTAGTGGTGGAAAAAATACATTATCTATGAATAAGCTACTATAATAGCCCATCGACTGTTCAATGTATTGCCCATAGAATTGTAAGAAGAAAAAGAAGATGAAATAGTGTTAAGTAGAGGAATCTATTCAATGTGTTGTTACGATCCAAAAGTACCTGCTCTGATCTGAATGGGAAATCTACTAATTTATGCATTTAGATGAGAGAATGGTGCCAGATTCAGATATATCATACAAAGCCCTACGCTCATTTGCATCTTTCTTTCAAGTATCATATTATAACAATAGATATAGATGGTAATCCTGCGGTATCTAACAGCTCTGGGATTGGTGCTCTCCTCGTTGCAGCAGGATAGTAACCCCTAAAATCATTCAATGTATTAGGATAATAAGATTACCAGGAGCTTTGTACTTACCCGCTTGTCCCCTCTACTCCTGGCTTTTGGCCTGTTCCATCCAGGGTAGCCAGTTTCCATCAGCCAATGGTAACCCTGCACCTCAAGAGGTTCATTCCTGAAAATCAGAAATAATTATAAATAACATCCATCAGATTATTTTGTTTTGGGTTGGTTAGGATAGGTTATGAGTATGGATTTACCTCTTGCCAGTGCAGAACATCTTCTGTGACTGAACCACAGCCAGTTCTTCTTTCTTTATATTCTGCTCACTGCGGTTCTGCTCCCTCCTTCTTCTTTTGGTCTTAGTATGGAGACACAACCATCATCAAGACATTGTCAACAAGAGAAACAGGTTGACAAGCAGTTGTGAGAGAGAAAGGTTAGGATTGGGAGGATTTTGCCTCCAAAAATTGTAGGTGTCACCTGGATTCCTTTTTTTTGGCTTTAACCTCCAGTATAGCATGTGTGCTTAGGAAATTGCAAAATTTGCAGATTTGAAAGCCAAAAAGGAAAACTTGGAAAATATTAGCAGAATCAATCATTAAGTTGATTATTTCACAACACAGTGTGGATTTATAATATTTTCCTCCTGACTCACCAGTTTCTTGTCGAAACCTTCAGATAGGCCACATTTCATCCAAGGTAAGCCTCCCAGGAATCCTCCCTTTTGTCAGTCCGATTACCAACATAATCAATGATTTTAGGCCTTCTAATTACCCCTTCAGTACCTGTGGAGCTGCTTTGAGAAGACCTGGAGCCTACCCTCAAACCATCCCTGGTTTTGGTGGCCTATCCTCCAAACCCCTACCAATATAAATTGTCCCTATATGTAGAAATCTACAAGGTATAAGCTAACCAATCCTAGCTGCAACGGGGTTGGAGTGACTTTGGCATACCATCCCTGGATGCTTGATCACAAGTAAGATCTTTCTTATTTATCAGCTTTGGCTGCCTTACCTGGTGAAGGTTGCAGACTGGCTTATTGGCCTGTGTAACACTGCATCCTTGCTTTGCATGCATGACTCTTGTGCTCACTTAGTATTAAGGATATATTGTGCTCACTTAGTATTAAGTCTATCTGGTGCTCACTTAGGATTAAGTATCTCTTGTGCTCACTTAGGAATAAGTACATCTTGTGCTCACATAGAATTAAGTATAGATGGTGCTCACTCCAAATTAAGCAAAGGTATTTATAAGTGTGAGACAAAGACAGCTGGGACTTCCTATCCATGTTCATATCGATGTAGGAGAATAAAAGTGAATACTGTATATATCTGTAGGGCGGTCATAGGATTCATTGATGCTCAGCTATAGGCCTGATTACTGAGTGCTGGAGAATCAGCACAGGAGTTATTTCATGAAATTCATATAGAGTGCCATCATTATCTTGGATCCTTGAGCTGGATTAATAATTGAATAGGACCATAAGAATAGTTCATCCAAATCATTTGTCTCACGTAATCATTTTTTGTTCTTGCATGTTTATCAAGTTTAATTATTGTTGTTTACAAAAATATGGTTACCTTTGCGAATTGACATATGAAGTGATACGTGAACGTGACAGTCAGTTGAAGTTGAAGGATCGCAATTGTCATTTGTCAGCGTGTGTACGAGCAGTGTTGCCGGATGACCACTCGTGGTTCTGTCACAGATTAACAGGCCTTTTTATTCTGTGGTTCCGTGCTAGATCCTTAGATCATTAATAAATCAAACTAAATAAACGTCACTTGAGAGTTGCCCTTCACGAAATTTAGTGTTCAACTTATTTTACCCACCCCTCTCCCTGAGCTGTATTCTGAATAACTATTTTCCAATCGTGGAAAATACGGAAACTCAACAAAAGGGATTCCCCGAGCAAGAATCCCTCCTTTTGTTGCCTCTCGAGTACCGAGGGGTAACAGTGTACAGGTGTTTTATATAATATATGTGATCAATTGAGTATCATATCAATTCACTTTCTCAACTAGAAGTTGAAACTCTTATAAGTTGAATTCCAGCTTTAGCTTCACAATCATTGTAATATATTGTCGGAAGGGCTGATGAAATTCATTTTCATCATCAACATTTATTATAAGTAGTACCTAGTATTATAAACAAGCTGTCAAAATAATTGAAATGATGAAACGCTCTATTTGTGATAGAACCCAACCAGCATTTATCGTCGCAATTACGTTATGACTATCATTGGATTAAATTTGCGGATATACTTGATGAATACGTAGTTACTACGTATTCATGATCAATATTGAGAACAATTTACGAGTAAATATTACGGTTTGTCGATGTTGCTGAAACTCATACGATTACGTAATGCTTGCATCCCGTCGACCTCGGAATCATGAGAAGATGTTCCACTGACTTCCTGTTTCTCTTTACTACATAGAAATATTGATTTCCCCCTTGATTCTTTTAACCATGAAGATTACATACGGTAATAATAAATAAGGGGAATCTGTTTATTGATAAATGCAAACTCAAACACACGACTCAATTAATACTTGTACTCACATGGAAGATATAAACAACAGCCAGTTTATCAATTAATATTATAATATTGTTTCAAAGTGCCCCTACAAATTACAGAATTTTTCAACAAAAATATAATTTCATTTTGTTCGACCTGCTTCCAAAAATTATTCAAAATCATGTTAATACTAATTTTTTTACTAGTCAGGAAAGCACAAGTTTCAACACCGCGGCTGACGGTTTATAGCCAAGGCGTAGCCGAAGATACGAGAGCAGCCAAGGCATTGAATCCTCTTTTCAGCCATGCATAATATAACATATATGACGTTATCTCCAAATTCGTTTCAATTACATGAAAATTTCAATTAATCTCACATTAAGTGTTCACCCAATGTCATTGTCAATTTTGATTACCAATTCGGTTCAGATTATCACTCAGAAAGCCTGGAATAGACAGATACATGCCCTATGTTCAATGGTATTTCAAACTGAATTCAATTTCTCTGGGGTGGCCTGAAATACCATTAGTTTTGTTGGCAAGATTTTATCATAATAAATTCCAATCGCGATAGTGGCGTTTTTCGTTGTCGCTTTATATTCTCAAATTTAGGTCGGAAGAGTTCGAATTTCGGAGGAACAACATGAATATTCGAAAATTTCCGTCACTATTATGACAACTTGAGTTATTGAGGAAATCATTCGATTTCTGAGAATGTTCTGATAGGAATGAATAATCCAGATGTGAATTCCAAATAGATTGATCTATTATATCTAGCACTTTGGAGAATAAAAATTGAAGTGGATGTTCCATTCATATTTCTCAAGTCAACTGGGACACACTGTATGCTCTCAATGAAACCATTGCAGATGGAATGACGTGACCCATAACAGTGAATTCATTATAGCCTGAACTACATTGAGCGACGGAAGTTTCGAAGTTTCAAAATATCTGAAATGAACAAGATTTTATTGGTTATACTAATAATAGGATGTGTTCACAACAGTGAATGTTCATTCAAAGTGAATTTATCTGATGAAAAAGGCGTGTACATACTAAGAGATATGATTCAGAGACAACTAAAACAACTGCCTCTAACCGTAATATCACCAAAGCCAGAACTGGTACCAAGATCAATTTTCCAATTGGGGATACAAAGTAGATTGATCACCAATATATCAAATATACCTGAATTACTAGTGGACGATAAAGGTCATTATATGATAAAAGCAGAATGCCTGGATGACCTTGACATGGTTTTATCAGAGTTTGAGAAGACAGGAAAATGGCACAGTACTTCGAAATTCTTTATTTTTTTGCAAAATGATGAAGATTTGGATTCTATCGCAGAAATATTCAAAAAACTTTGGAAACTCTACATTTACAATGCAGTCGCAACTACTGATTTCATAAACTTTTATACGTGGTTCCCTTACGCCATTAACAATAATTGTGGAAGAGAATTTCACCTGAGTGAATGTCCCAGAAACAATTCCTTTGATCCATTCGCCAATAAGATACCCAAGAAAGTCAACAATTGCGAATTCAACGTGACAATGGCTATCGCTGAGATGTATACAGATGAAAAAACGAATGAAGGCTTCATCAACGCGTATATCGATACCATCTGTGAAAAGCTCAATATGTCTTCGAAGTTCCTACCCAGAAATTATGTAAAATATATTGAAGAAAGTGGTAATTTGAACTTGATACCAGAGGAAATGGAGAACGATAATATACAAGCAGCTCAAGTGGTACTTCTGTTTGATAAAAGGTTGCCTTGCAATTTTTGTCAGTATACTTGGTCAATTCTCGATACCAATCTATATTTTGCAGTGCCTTTCAGGAAGAAGTTACCTACGAAGATCTTAGAAATACTTCCAAATAACGTTAAAATCAGTTACATTTTCATAGCAATCCTGTTCGTGATCACTTGGAAGTTCATCAATAAAGTAACATGGCAACGTTCGATCTTCGATATAACACAACTTCTTGTCACAGTCCAAACAACCCGAAGATGCATGAGACGATCAGCAAACTGTCTATTGATCCTTATCTTCTGGTATGGCCTGATAATGAACACAGTTTACTCTACTGGTTTAGGTAGTATTTTAACCAGGCCGGAACTATCACCGAAAATACAAACTCTAGAACAACTACTTGTCTCAGACTATCGAATAGCTTCTAATATTATGAGCATGCAGTTCATCGAAGAAAGTGATCCAGATAAGGCGCTCAAGATCAAAAAAAAAGTTATAGAAGGAAGTAAGGAAATTCCTTATCCAGAAACTATACGTCGTTTTATGAAGAATCCAGATCACTCTATCGGTATCATTACAAACACCTTCTGGCAAATTAGGAATCTGAAAGATATTGAAATCATCTTGGATGATCCCGTGAGTAACTGAAACTATTCTTTCCATGACAATATCGGTATTCCTATTGTCCCATGTTATCGTATATATGCAGGCAAAATCCCAGTCTGCAGCAGATAATTATTCTATCAATATATCCCTATCATATTCTATTCTATGAATCTCTAGGAATATACCTCGTTTATTTCGATTAACATAGTCTCATTTGTCATCTGCCATATGTCATCCAGCATCTGTCATCTGTCATCTGTCATCTGTCATCTGTCATCTGTCATCTGTCATCTGTCATCTGTCATCTGTCATCTGTCATCTGTCATCTGTCATCTATCATCTGTCATCTGTCATCTGTCATCTGTCATCTGTCATCTGTCATCTGTCATCTGTCATCTGTCATCTGGCATCTGTCATCTGTCATCTGTCATCTGTCATCTGTCATCTGTCATCTGTCATCTGTCATCTGTCATCTGTCATCTGTCATCTGTCATCTGTCATCTGTTATCGATCATCAATCATTATTTATCGGTGTTTGGTCATCATCTGTCATATGTCATCGGTAATCATCGGAGGTTAGAGAGGTGCGATTGATGAGTATGAGAAGCGTTATATCCTCACCGAGTGTATGAGGACAACTACTCGTTTAACGGTCAGTCAGTGATGAAATCGTATACCGCGTGTATACAATACAATACTCGAAATGAATAGTGGTGGTGGATCAATCATTCTTGAGTGTTCCTATTTATCAAATATCTCAATTCCTGAATAGAATGGGGTCGTTGTTCTCTTCTACAACAATATGAAAAGATGATCTATTTTTGATTCTTTACTTCAGGTCGTTAAATCCAAGAGTGTTTTCATAATAAGAAGGAATCATCCTTTGTTTGATAAAATCAACAATTGGATTCTGTCTATACAAGAAGCTGGATTGCCTTCCAAATGGGTGAGAAAGTACACGGCAAATATGGAAAAATTTGAAATAGAAGTCGAGAATGAAGGCAGAAGGAAACTGAATATGGTGGATATGCACGATTCTTTTATGTTTTTAATAATTGGTAATTTATTTTCGTTCTGTGTATTCATGGTAGAATCAGCGTATTACAGGATGAGTAGGTGAATACCATCAACATGCATGTGATGCAGCATGAAATATAATTATTATTGAGATTGAAAGTGTAATATTTTATTGAATTTCTCTCCTTAACAGCATTGCCGCGTACGAAGACTTGTACCTAATTCTGATACGGATACGCTCATTGATTACATGAAACTCTCAAAGTCCTGAAACATTCTGAAATTATTATTTATATACATATATAGGTATATTTAACAAGGGGAAGCTTTCGTGACTGTTCTATAATAATATTCTTGGAAATATTAGTGGGATGCAGTCTGGACCAATGGATTAATTAAATTTCTTCGTTATTTGTCGAGCTTTCGAAAATTTTTATTTTCTTTATCAAGACTAACTGAAAACATCGAATGGAACAATATATAAATGTACATCAATTGAAATTGGTATACTTACAAACATGAAATTCTATATAAAATTAGCACAAAAAGGAAACATAGGTGTATAAATAAAATGAAATGATTTGACAAAAAAATGTCATAGATGATGGTTGACTCATTTGAAGATGTTGAATACAGAGTGAGATAAATACTGATATATATAAAAATACTGATATATAAAAAATGTTTGTAGATTATATATAAAACATGAATCATTCAAGGAGGACGAGTTGATTTATTATCTTTTTGTTTCTTTAGAAGGAATGTATAAATGGTACTAAGATCGTTGATGTCTGTTCTTTTGTTCATCGTTTTATCATTTTCATTAATATGTACCATTTCAAGAAAGAGGCGTTTGTTGAGATGTTTTTCATAATCCAGAATTTTGGCATTATCATAATTCATTATATGATCTTCATCTATAACATGTTCACCAAGGCTACATGATTTTAAATTTCTTCTACAATCACTTTTATGTGAAGTGATTCTGTCTTTTAACATTCTACAAGTTTGACCAATATAAACTAGATTACAATTATTGCAGGGAATTTCATAAATAATATTCGATCTATTTTTGACTGGTACAGGAGTTTTCAATTTGGTATGAAGATGAAATATTGTTTTCAAATTTGTTTTAGCGAATTTAATATTTGTTTCATTTTTAAAGAGACTGATTAATTTAGGAGTTAGATCAATTATGTGTGGTAAAGATTTGAATATTGAAATTTGATTATTTCTTGGTAGGGGAACGTCAACATTAAATGAACTGAAAATAATTTTATTAACTAATGATTTTGGATACGAATTTTCGATAAGGATGTTTCTTAATTCTACTAGACATTCATTTCTCAAAGTTACGTGGGTGACTTTTTCTACTCTATTTTTGAGGTTACGTATTAAGTTAATTTTCATTTTCATTGGATGATGTGAATGGTAATTAATAAAACGATTACTATTGATTGGTTTCCTGTACCATCTAGTTATAATTATATTATTGTTCGTTCTAATCAATTTCATATCTAGAAAAGGAACTGATTGATCAATTTCTTTTTCAACAGTGAATTGAATATTAGTGTTAAAGCTGTTGAAAATATTGAGAATCTCATCAATGCAATTTTCTGGTACAGAAAGAATTAGATCGTCTACATATCTTTTCAAAAATGGAATATCGAAGGTAATTTTATCTATGCAATAATCAAGGAGTTCATCTAAAACATAGCTAGATATTATTGGAGAAATGCTCGATCCCATAGGAGTACCAAATATTTGTTTATAAAATTTATCATTGAAAACTAGAACTGTAGAGTCAAAAATGAAATCGATTATTTTCATGAACATACCTTTTTTAATATTACAAAAATTGTTAATTGAATCCCATTTCTTTTCAATACAAAGCTTAACTAGTTCTAGTGGTAAGTTTGTAAATAAAGATACAACGTCTAGGCTTATTAGAACGTAATTAGGTGGTAACTGAAAATTATTAATGAATTCACTGAAAGAAAAAGAATCACTCACATGATAAGGAGTGTTGTTGTCGTAGGCACTGGTCAATATTTGAGTTAATAAATTTGTAATTTTACTGTTTGGTGAATCTATAGATGAAATAATTGGTCTCATAGATAAAATTGGCTTATGTATCTTTGGAAGAGTATAAAATCGTGGTGTAACTGAATTATAAATTGTGAGTTTCTTAGCATTAATTTCTTCTATCATGTTTTTATTTTTCAATTCAGAAACAATTTTATTAGCTTTCTGTTGTAATGTACAAGATGGATCTGCTCTGATTGGTTTATAATATTTAGTATCATTGAGTAGAAGTTGACTTTTTCTTATGTAATCATCTTTGTACATAGCAACAGTAACGTTTCCTTTATCACTATTGATAATGCAAATTTCTGGATGTTGTTTCAAATATATCTTGCATCTATTGAAAATTAAAGTTAATTGATCTATATTATTATTATTCAAATGTAAGTAATTAGTTATGATATTTGTGAACTGTGCTCGATATAGATTTCTATCACTTTCATTGAAATGATCGATAACATTTTCTAGATCAGCTAGAAGCGAATCTATTCTAATATCTTTTATAGTGGGACATACACTGAACTTAGGACCAAGAGAAAGGAATTGTTGAATTTCATTTGGAATTACTAAGTCTGTTAGATTTTTGAACCATTTATCTTGAAATTTGATTTTACTAAATTCTTCTGATTTCAATGCTTCAAGTTTACATTGATTTCTATTTTTAATGAGTTTGAATTCTCTTTCATATTTGATATTCAATCTACGTTTATATTCATTAATGATAATTCCAGGAAGAGAATTATTGAGTTGATGATCTACTATTGTTAGCTGTTTTGAAATTCTTCTCATATCAGAATGAGTAATACCAATTTCCAAATTCAGTAATTTTGTTTTCAAATCATGATTGAAGTTCTGTATCTGCTGCCCAAGTCTTCCTGTGTTATGATCCAATAATACATTAATGTTTCTCACTCCATTACTAACATGTTTGGGGAATATTTTGTTTTGTCTGCATTTCAGTAGGAATACTCTTCTGTTTCTTATTGATGCTAATTTGATGTTAAGCTTGGTCAATGTCTTGAGATTTCTAACACTAGCAAGTCCATATCGATGTTGGATATCTTGGTAAAATCCCATACCTTATATTTAACAAGGGGAAGCTTTCGTGACTGTTCTATAATAATATTCTTGGAAATATTAGTGGGATGCAGTCTGGACCAATGGATTAATTAAATTTCTTCGTTATTTGTCGAGCTTTCGAAAATTTTTATTTTCTTTATCAAGACTAACTGAAAACATCGAATGGAACAATATATAAATGTACATCAATTGAAATTGGTATACTTACAAACATGAAATTCTATATAAAATTAGCACAAAAAGGAAACATAGGTGTATAAATAAAATGAAATGATTTGACAAAAAAATGTCATAGATGATGGTTGACTCATTTGAAGATGTTGAATACAGAGTGAGATAAATACTGATATATATAAAAATACTGATATATAAAAAATGTTTGTAGATTATATATAAAACATGAATCATTCAAGGAGGACGAGTTGATTTATTATCTTTTTGTTTCTTTAGAAGGAATGTATAAATGGTACTAAGATCGTTGATGTCTGTTCTTTTGTTCATCGTTTTATCATTTTCATTAATATGTACCATTTCAAGAAAGAGGCGTTTGTTGAGATGTTTTTCATAATCCAGAATTTTGGCATTATCATAATTCATTATATGATCTTCATCTATAACATGTTCAGCAAGGCTACATGATTTTAAATTTCTTCTACAATCACTTTTATGTGAAGTGATTCTGTCTTTTAACATTCTACAAGTTTGACCAATATAAACTAGATTACAATTATTGCAGGGAATTTCATAAATAATATTCGATCTATTTTTGACTGGTACAGGAGTTTTCAATTTGGTATGAAGATGAAATATTGTTTTCAAATTTGTTTTAGCGAATTTAATATTTGTTTCATTTTTAAAGA